AAGGCAGTGTCTTCTTGGTTTGGGATTGCCATCTGGATTTGGTTGTAGCCCAAGAATGCATCCATGAACATAAGGCGTTCATGGCCTGTGGTGGCATCGACTAACTGGTCTATCTTGGGTAGCGGATAGCAGTCCTTGGGGCATGCCCGGTAGAGATCAGTATAATCAACACACATCCTCCAGCTTCCATTAGGTTTTTTAACGAGGACTACATTCGATAGCCACTGGGGGTATTTAACCTCAGTAATGAATCCGGCCTTTACAAGGCGATCGACCTTGTCCCCGATCGCCTTCTATCGGTCGGGGGCGAACCTCCTTGGTCTTTGTCTTACCGACCGTGCCTCGGGGTCGATGTTGAGCCGGTGTTGGGCCACTTCTAGGTTAATCCCGGGCATCTCCTCGGGGGACCACGCGAATATGTCAGCGTTCTTCCTCAGGAAGTCAATGAGGTAGAGCTAGTCCACTTCAGAGAGCGTGGCTCCGACCTTGACGGTCTAGTCGGGATGACTCCTCTTTAGAGGTACCTCAATGAGTGGCTTGGGAGGCTCCAGCGGCATTTGCGGTATGGGTTCTTCACGAGGATCGGGAACTGGAGTTGGGCGGAGCTTTCTTGGGAGAGTAACCGCGGCGAGGTAGCATCGCCTTGACTCCCCTGGGTCACTTTGGGCCAAGGACGTTTCTCGACAGTGCTGTGGGCGTAGGCCTTTCTCGTCGCAGAGCTGCTGCCACCGGCCGCTAGTCCCTCGGAGATGACATCGATTTGTCTCTCGATGGGTCCCTTGGGGTGTGGAGTCACCTCCGGGGATTTGAGGTAATGCCCGAGTTGGCCTCTCCGGATCAGCGCCTCTATTTGATTATGGAGGTCACGATAGTCCTCTGTGTCATGACCGTAGTCCCGATGGAACCTACAATATTTAGATCGATCTTTGTGAGTGGCCTTCATAGGACGAGGTTGTTGCAAGAGACCTGCCTCTTTAATTTGGAGGAAGATCTCGGTGTGGGACATATTCAGGGGGAGAGGCCGGGGCCTCGGGAGCGATAACTCTTGCCGGCCGAGCCCGCGGTGGGGTGTCGCCAGGGCTACTGAGGTTGTTCCTCGGGACAGTTCCGCCCTTGGCCTCTTGCCTTCCATGCGCCTTCCCGCCACCAATGCCTCGGCGACGATGTATTGGTTAGCGTGTTGAAGCATTTCGGAGGTGGTCGCTGGCGGCTTCTCAATCAGCGACCAGAAGAACCTCGAAGGCTTCAAACCCATCAGAAAGGCCTGCAAGATTAGAGAGGGGTGAACATCCGAAAAACCCCAGTTCTCGGTGGCAAAACATAGCACGAACTGAGAGAGCGACTCGTCTTCGCACTGGTATAGCACGAGCAGGGTGGTCATGGAAGCCCTGGGTGATGCGCTGGTGAGGAAGTTTTGCTCGAACTCCCCGGCAAGTTGGTCGAAGGATGAGACTAAGGATTGGCGTAGCCGGCTGAACCATGTTCGTGCTAGCCCCCTCAGAGTGGTTGGAAATTCCCGGCACATCAATGCATCGGAGGTGCCGTAGAGGGCCATCTGGGCTCGGAATGCGGAGACGTGCTCCATTGGATCGGAGCCGCCGTCATATGTCTCCAATGTCGACAGCCTGAAATTGAGGGGTACTAGCTTGTCTTATACTTCCTGAGTGAAAGGAGACTCGCCCGAGCCGCCTTCACTGGAGTCGCTCCACGATTTTCGAAACTCGTGCAGGAACGCATCCAAATGTTGGTTAACACGGGATAGTTGGGCCCTAAGTGAGTCGTCTACCGAGTCAGACGATATGGTGTCAGGCTCGAGATGAGGTAGCGCGGCTCGATAGGGTGTGGGTATGTTCTGCATGGGAGGACCTCTCGGGTCGATCGCTTGCTCTCGGGCTTCTCCGATCCCGACCTGCTCCCTGCTCGGGGGCTACCGGGTCGGGTCGGTCGGGGGTGTCGCTAGTCATACGATTTGGGGAATAATTGGAGCGAGCGTTTGTATCATGCCTGCCATGGCCTGCACTTGCTTGGTCAAGCTAAGGAACACCTCGGGTGTCACGGCCGAGGGCCTTGTGGTGAGCCCTGGGTGTGACAATCCTGGGTCATTGAACAGACGCCAGTAGTGATCTAGCGTCGAGGCCGGGATCCCCCCGTCTCCGGGGGTGGGGAGGGCCTGACTTTCTAGCTCGACGGAAGAGAGGTCGGTCGGTGGTTCTCTCCTGGGGAGAACTCCTGTCAGTTGCTCTTACGACATGACCCTCCTTCTAGGGCTAAAATGTTAGTGAACAAAAGTACCGTGGCTGATGAGTCAGCACGGTTAGGTCTGTAGGTCGATGTCGGGAGCTTCTTGCGGGGTGGGTAGGATGATGAGGTGGTCGCGCCCTCGGGAAGGAATGTTGCCTAACATTGGTCGGGATCCAGGCTAGCTCACTACTCTCCTTTGTGCGATGGAAGGTGTCTCCTAGGTCGAGACGTTCGCTGGTCGGGAGTGGTCGTTTTAGAGCAACTTGGACAAGAGTTGGGCTGGCGGAGTCGGCTGGGCCCTTGTGAGAGGATGTTGATCCGAGTTTCTCAGTTTGCCGACCCAGGCGCTGTTTGTAGTGGGATGCATCTCTCCGACTCCGGGATGAATGGTAGCGCGTCCTTGTGTACTGGATGGCAATTCCCAGATTGAGGCACTCGCCGTTCGGGAGTGTCTGCCTTCCTGCAAAATGGCCTTCGTCGGGTGCTTCCTGACTTTGGCCCCTCCGACGAGTAAGTCAGTGGAGTATTTGATATTGAGTTTTTTCTCTTCCCCTAGCCGGGCGTTAGCCAGGGGTTTATATACTATTATATGAGGATTGGTTACGCCTCGGTTCGGTGTAACCGTTGACCCTTGTGGGAGGGGACGACTTTTCTGACGAATTGGCGTCTTGGGGGATGCCTGAGCGGCATCAGACGGCATCGCCCCGAGCCCTCGGGATAGTCGTGTCACATAGTGTCTCGGTACGGAACCTGGCTTGACGTGCATCACGGGGTTCTAATGACGTGTGGCATTGGATTCTGATATTAGTTGGGACGTGACGTGTGACGTCGATGATGACTCATCTGGGAGCCAAAATATGCCATATCAGATAGCAAGAAGGGATACTTGCTCAAGGCAAGAGAAGCTTTAATACTCACAATCACTTAAATCTCACAATCACTTAAAGATTGCCTCTATTATAAAATATGAGATTGCCTCTATCATGATCTTATGAGATGATCTTCTACCATTTTGCAAGCCTAAATGGATACCTCAACAAGCTAATCCTCTTCCTTTTATCGCTTCTCGGCCTTCCCCCTGAGCCCGTTCGTGATTCAGCTGTGTTGCTTTGTGTCCCTTGCCATGTTTGGATCAAAAGCTTTGATGCTTCTGAAAGCCCAGCGATCCCGCCTTCCGGCCTCGGTGCGTCGACATGCTGTTCATGCCGACGTCGGCTCTGACGGTCTCCGGACTCGCCGCTGTCGAGATGGAGAACCTCTCCAGTGCTCAAATTGTCGTCCTTTCGCTCTTGATGTTTCATGGCGGCAAGGTGTTCGTTACTTTGCTCGGCCTTCTGTTTGGGAGAGGGAAGCAAGACGAACCGGGGAGCTCTGCCGGCAGAGTGGATTCAGCCTGCATTGAGCTCGAGTCCGTCGATCCCTCCCAAAACACCATTGACCGCATTGAGTCGGGGATAAGTCCTCCGGCGGCCGGCGCCGACGAAAGCTCTGTTCGATCTCTGGGATATGTAGTCTCTGGCTATGTTGCTATCTTTCATCTGATCGGCACCTCGTTGCTCCTGGGAGCACGAGGCATACTGAAGACGAAGGGCATCGATGTCTTCCTGTTTTGTCTATCTGCTACCGTTTCATCGTTTGCGAATGGGGGCTTGATCGCTAGCAACGAAAACATGGCCATCATGAACAAGGACCCGGTCGTTCTCCTGCTCATGATCGCTCAGGTTCTGGGAGGCAACACGGTATTCCCTCTGTTCCTGAGATGGGTGATACGGGCCTTGAAGAAGCTCACCTGACGTGACGAGTTCAAGTGCATGCGCTTCAGCACGGTGGGAGCTCAACTCAGTCCTCTGCTTCCAAAGTCGGAGACTTCGATGCTGTCTCTCACGGTCATCGGGCTGATGACTGCGCTGCTTGTGCTCTTCTGCGCCGCGGACTGGAACGGAGCGGTGTTCGACGGATTGAATTATGTGGAGAAGTTGGTCAGTGCATTGTTCATCGCTGTGAACTCCAGGCACGCTGGTGAGAATTCCATCGACTGTTGCCTCATCTCCCCTGCAGTTTTGGTGTTCGTCATCGTCATGATGTGAGTACTTCTGTTCCTCTTTGCGTGATATCTTTCCTATTTCATCATACTCTTTGTAATTATACTGATGCCATTCTGGTCTCCAGGCATCTTCGCTCTTCCATGTCCTTTTCCTTCATTGATATAAGGATGACACAAGCTCCGATGGAATCAAGAAGGAAGACAAGAAGAAGTTTCACAGCTTTCCTACATTGCCATCTTCATCATTGCCATTTGCATCACCGAGAGAAGGAAGATGACCAGAGATCCACATAACTTCAGCACATTGAAGTTAATCTTCGAAGTGATCAGGTAATCTCCCGTCATAATCTTTAGGTAGCTCTAAGCACCATGAGAATGATCACGAGAATCGACAGAGGTTTACCGCAACTGGTGATTACAGTGGCTACAGGAATGTTGGGCTGCCAACTGGTCATAGCTGCTGGAGGTTGCTGAGATTGCATCCGCAAGCTTATCCTGGCTCGTCAAGCTCTATGGAAGGCTGAAGAAGTTTAGTGCAGGTGATGGCAGAGCATGGAAGCTCTACTGAGCATGCGATGAACTCGCGAGCTAATAGTTCTTGCAAATACCCATAGGAAACCACCAGAGAATGAGTTTGGATGCTGATAGAATTATTCATATATAATCAAAATTATCAGATATTAGAAAAAAATTACGTTGGAAAATAAATATCAGATTGAACGAAAGGCTTCTTTCTTATATACAGACATCAAAATGGCAGACTAATTTCCCAGAAAAGAAGATAAACCAGAGAGGTCCGATCTAAGAGTTCACAGATCTCAAAGCCACAGCTGTTTTCCGATTTAAGACGAACAGAAATAACAAATAGATTTCTTTGACCACCGGTTTTGCTAGTTAATTACAACACTACCTGCACTACCACAAAATTACGATTCTGCCCTTCGATCGCCGCCCCACCGCACCAGGACTTCGTACCCCTCCGCCGACCTCGCGGCGAAGTCGGCCAGCGAGCTGACGGCCACCGACATCCCTGCACACAGCACCCTCCTGGCCATCTCCGCCGTCGCCATCGCCGCTGCCGCCGCGGCGTCGTCTCCATCCCCCTCCTCCTCGGCCGCCGCCCTCCCGCTCACCGACCCGATCCCGGCCGCGAAGAAGTCCAGGCCGTCCACCACCTGCGCCTCCCCCACCGACTCCAGCAGCCGCGACCACTGCACGCACAGGCCCAGCACAGCCGGCGCGCCACCCGAGGGCCGCGGCGGGGAGAGCGGGGACCGCGCGCCGCCGCCCCCGGGGTCACCGCAGCGGAGTGCCCACCCGGCCAGGGCGCGGGCGTAGGCCCGCTGGGCCGCGACCCACGCCTCGAGGCACGCCCGCCAGTTCCGGAGCTCCGCCTCGAGCGCCGCGGCCGCCCGGGGATGCCGTGGCTGCGGCGCCGCGTCCTCCGAGCCCTTCCCGGCGGCGGCGGCGGACGCGAGGATCAGGAGCTTGGCCTCGTCTATCGTGCGCTTCTGGATCCGGTGACAGTCCGCGGTCGTCCTCCACATCTTCGCTAACCTGCACCGCGGGGCAAAGGTAGCAAGTTGAACGGACGTGATTCAATGCCTTTTTGATCCAACGGACAACCGCTCACCAGCATCAAGCAGGTAACAAAATAAAGAAAGAAGTGCCCACCATCTTCCTGCCTATGCTTTTCAAGAATCAACTACAAAATTTTATTTTTATTGAATGATGCAATTTTACATTATATAATGAATGCTAGATGTAAATCACAAAGAAAATAAGGATTAAAAAATAACATGAGGTCGCAGATCTTATCTGCATGTTATAATTAGAGCAGATAAAAAAGTGAGAGCTTTTACTTTGGAGTGGAGCAGAGCATCAGCTGAACGCATGGTATCATTACTTCCATTACTCTTACCAGCAGCTTTATAGTGATTAAGTTGCATCACTGGAAGGAATCAAACTGTACCTTCATGAAAAAGCTATGCCATACTGTTTGACTGCCTGATACACATGGTCCAAATACTGGCGAATTGATCGACAATTAGTTCATTTATTTCTAGTTCCTTGTCTGCTGCACATCATTAGACTATGTCATCAGCTTAATGCATGCTATCATTACTTCGATTACTGTCCAATGGCTTTATATTGACTAAACTATGTTATCGAAAGGAATCAACTGAACCTTCTTTATAAAGCCTTTTTATAGTTTGACTGTTGATGATATGCATGTACAAGGGTAAAGTGAGGTGGAGTATCATATTATTCATTGTGGAACATGCATGTTCTTTGTTCTCTATGCTATAGACCATTGAGATGTGAAAAAATCTGTTTTAGTGCACACAATATGAATGTGTTTGATAGCTTGTCATATCAATGCTTGAAACCTTACCTATGTGTAGGTTCCAAATTCTAAATCTTCATAGGAGCATGTTTAGCCTATATCTACATTGACTTACGCACCATAATTGTCCAAGAATTCTATCTTGTGATATTATACTGTGCGTGTTGTTTGAAGAATCAAGGGCCCAGACATGACATGATGAGTTTTCATAGCATATGAGCATCACTTCAGTTAAGGCAAAAATATGAAAATGGTGGTGCTCTTTAGAAAATAAGCCACTCGAGGACATGCAAAGGACAGAAAGATGTGTTTTCTACTATATTTTTAGAAGTTACCATTATTCAAATGATTGTAGCATTTTAATTCTGGGAATTGCATACTCATCAATAAGCACAGATTTATAGATGGACAGAGCAAGATAAGAGTAAAAATTAGCCTTACATGTTCATGCAATGAAAGTTTTCTTCTTCATTTCAAACAAAGTAGTCATTTGCTGGTAAATGATCCAATGATCACTTGTAATATTAGAATGACAACATGTTCCTAGTTTGCACTCTTTTGATATTAATCTGAATCTTATTCTAGCCATTTGGGAGGACATGATAGAATGAGAGTAGTTCTCTGAGAAATTAATTATCTTCCAAATTTAGGAAAAGATAGTTCAGGGTCTCCTTATCTGGAGAGAAGTTATGGAATGATGTAAAGGAAACTTGAGAGGTCAAGGCTACCTTTATTGAAGGGTCGGCAAAAAGACCTATAAGGAGACCCTGGAAATACAGGACTCTGGAAATAAAGGACTCATAATTTTTCTGCTTGAAGAAAATAAAGAAAAAAGAGATGGTGTTCCTAACAGGACTCTGGAAATACCCTTTAAGTACTTCTAACATAAATATATTCTGATGTCTAATCATCCAAATGGCTAAATCATCTTCTTGGTCATACTAGTCTAAATGACAATGGTCTAACATGAAAAAATACATATGCTTTACTAAACTATTTTATCAAATAGATAAAGTAAAATTTTAGAGCATACCCTTGTAGTAGCTCGATCAGCTGCGGATGCAATTCCTCATCCCGCAAAGTTTCTATTCTTTTTGACACTGACTCAACTGAATGTATAGAAACTTTTAATCGGGTATGCAGATCTCTTACGACTGCTCTTGTTTTTTCAACAGCAGAAGGCTCTTCACCATGCACATCTTGGTTCCTCAGTTGCATGTATTTCTTCTCAAATGCAATTCTTATCCGCTCTCCAGCCTGCAGCAACATGACACATTGTTACGAATTACACTAAAATGCATTTACTCTTTGCCACTAGTTAGTTGGAACCAAAAGTCTGCTTGCCGAAAACGATTACCTTAACCTCCTCATATAATTTCTTCTCCCATTCATATAACCTATCCAATGTTGATTGGTGGCTCCCTGATATCATGCAGGATTCCTGGGAATAGTCACTGCTGCTTTCATAACCATCATATCCTGAACTGGGAGCAGCATGAAAGAACCTAGAAGACGACGAGCGTGATGATGCAGACCGGAATAAAACAATTGGGTTCATCATTTTAACTGCAGCAGAAATGCAGAACATATAAATTCAAAATAATAAGAGGTACACATTTCAAATTCAGAACTCAGAAGCATTTCATATCATGATTCTTTTTCATGTTATCAACCCAACAAAGACCACTATAATGACTTGATGGATGTACCAGCAATTTCACTAGAAGTTGATGAGTACTGGGCTCGGCTTGCTTCCAACAATACTGAAACCTCATGAGCACAGTCACAAATCCGTATAAATTGGCACTCAATGTCTTTCATGATTTCTGTCATACTTGTTGGTCTTCGGTTTAGATAAACGGTAAATCCAGGGGTTTCTTCTGCAGACTCTCTCTTTCCTACCACCTCCTTCTCTTTAGTTATTTTAATTTCTATGGCATCTTTTGTTTCTGAGACTTCAATGGTCTCCAAATTCTTAGATTGATGTTCCTTCACCTCACGCTTTTTACGATTTTTATTTTTGGTTCCTGAAGAATTTTCACCTGCATCCTTTATTCTAGTATGTCCCGAATCGACTTCATGTCTTTCATTCTGGATTTCTGGTTGCACACACTCTTCTTCCCCTCTCGTTCCTTCTTCTTCCAATTCTGGAATTCCTTCTTCTTCTCTAACCTGCCTTAATCCTGCTATATCATCATCATTAATCACCTGATCAAAACTGCCCTGGTATGCATATCCATATGTATCCAGCGAAGAGAAAGGATTCCAAAATGAGTCCCACTGTGAATTTCGAGGTGACGCCGGCGGGTAGCTTGGCCTATCATAAGTTGAAGAAAAGAATGAAGAGTTTAATGGTGTGGACTGTGTGGCAAAAAAGTCATCACTTCCATAATGATCCATAGGGTAATAAGAGTTAATTCTCACTGTTTCTGTTGGCTGAGGACACTCTTCAACAGATACCGAAGTACTTCCTCCTGATCTCAAGTATCTTGCAATATGTAAAGTGCTTTCCCTAGACCGGTTTTGTGCCTGTGCCGATGCTGAGGACCTAAATGGAACCCCGATGATTTTCTCAGGCTGGTTTAGTGCTGATGCAGAGGACTTGAAGGGAATACCAATGATTTCCGGGCTTAATTTCTTCACAGGCGTGAATGGCGGTGTCGTGAATGAATCTGAAAATGAATCATAGTGTTCCTGTCCGTCAACAAAATCAGATAGCGCGCGGGAGATGCGCTTTAGAGACTGAATATAAGCGATGTGCCCGGAGGCAAAGCGGATCCTCTGCTCGATCGCCTGTTTTATGAAATTTCGTCTATCCTTGCACATCTGGACGGCTTCTTCATCTTCCAACCTCGAAGCAGAACATCCCATCTTGAAGGTTTTCTATGAATTCTTCAGAACCGAATCATAACCATATTGACAGAATGGAAGCAGATGGTTGTTGTCGAAACTCATAGGATTCTTCAGTGCTGTTCCACATGTAAGTAGTCAGAAGAATTCCACACAGTCATCACTGCATGGTGGTGGTGAAGATCACCAGAGACATAACATGAAATCTGGAGCTCAGTTGAACTCCCAAACTATATGTGGAAAGATCAATTGAACTTACAGCAAGTGGAGATGACTTCAACCTCTTTGGAATCCTTCTCTTCACCTTATCGAAAGCTGACAGCTCTAGATTAATGCAGAAAATTTTGCCAGCAGTAACACCCTTGTCCAGACTGAACTGTGAGAGGAAAATAATTTGGTTAGCAAATTATTCTCTTGAAAGTAGATGTGGTAGCAGAAGATTATGTTGGAACGTTCATGTGTGTTTTGCTAAAGCAAGTGAGAGAAGATGCCTACGTAAGCGGAAAGAAGAATGCAAACTTGAAGAGGGGGAAAAACGCGACACAGAAATTGACAGTCTGAAACATGATGAAATCATGCTGAAGAAACTAAATTGTTACCGGAAAATAAACTCCCCCAAAAGAACAAAAAAGAAGCAAATGTTTAGTATCCCAGCAACCTGAGAAGCAGACATGCATGTGGTAAAGAAGATCACAAGATGCTGTTGATGCAAAAGCAGATCTCCAGAGAGAAGTAAAAGAAGATGGGAACTACATGACCGAGAAGTAAACCACCATCCACTACTAGGAACCAGGAGGCTTTTCTACACAGCAAACAAGACAAAATGTGCAGGAGATCTCCATGGAGCAGGAAGAGAAGCTGGCAATCACAAGCAAAATGTTTCAGAAAAGAAAAGGCAGTATTCTTGATCTGCCTTTCAATTTATCCAAAAACCTGACCTGATGAAACACAAAGAAGGATTCCAAATCACATGAGGGAAAAGGACAAAGCAGTAAAGCTTGACATTAAGACTCTGAATTGTACAGTCAAGCTTCAAAGCAGAAGCAGAAAAATGACAAAAGATCATAAAGATGAGCAGCAGAAGCCCATTCCATTAAGCGGAACACATTAACACCCCCAGCTGTTCATCTCCCTAAAAGAAGTAAAAAAGAAGCAGCATGAGACCACCACCAACCTTGAAACAAAAAACCTTCTGCAAACATGAATAGAATCCAATTCCGATGCACAATAGGGCTGCAACTGTGCTGGTTCCTTCGCTCAGGCTGGAAGCACAACTCTTGATCTCAGAGAGAGAGAGAGAGGCAACGGTCAAATGAGCTAAAGTAGAAAGAATTGAAGCAGAGAGGAACTGAGCGCGTTTAAAGAGGAGGAAGGGCGGAGAGTACAACTTTATTCCTGAAACTACGCCCTTGGGGTGCAGAAGAATTACAAAGAGAGCCCAACGACACATAATTCATCCCATTTGTCCCTTTTGATCTCCCCAGTGGAGCGGCGTACAATTTGGTGGAAGCAATGAATGAACTCAATGGCCCTACCATGACAATGAGAATACTACCGATGGGTACAGCATTCGGTGAGATCCAAGAACATGTCATTTCCACACTCATCCCCCCTCTTTACCAAACAAATAAACTCTTTTTTTCTAAATTAAAGTATATCAAAAAAAAAACATATGAGTCATTATGATTAATCATCTTCAGCCACTCATGATATAAATATACTTTAAATTTTTATTATGATTATAGGTGTATTAAGAATTTAGGATACATATTTTGAACTCAAACTATCTAATATCAAACATGATTAATCTTTTTTTTATAAAATAAATATTAATAAGAGGATAGATAATGATAAATATATATGTTTTAAGTTTTAAAAAGGATGGATATATTAAAATCTCTCACCCACTACTACTATTATTAATATCAACATCATTATCATTTATAATTCCCTTTTCCAGCGAATTTGACCGGTCGCTGGAAGCGTTTGAAAGATTTGGGCAAACAGGTAATTTGGTGCCAAGGAAAAAGAATGGTGCTTTAATTGCAGAAAAGCTGGGACATAAATGTGGGATTAAGAAGGCGAAGACACAATTAGCAGCTCATTAATTATTATTATTAGGATTTGAACAGGGGATTAGGAGGCTGGAATTTAAAAGGCCAAAAGTAACATTCGAGTCGGCTGGAAAAAGCAAAAGAGAGAAAGCGAGTAGGAAAGAAGGAAAGTAAAAGATTCGGGCCCGTTTTAGAGCTCTTCCTGATGCCTCGATCTGCGAGATTCTTCTCTTCCTTCCTCCCTGCATCATCATCCCCTTCGATCTATCAGCAGCAAGAAGAAGAAGAAGAAGAAGTGTGTTTGGGTGGGGCGGGGGGGGGGATTGCGTCGTGGCTGGTGATGAGCTATGCGTCGTCTTGAGATTGTTGACGGATGATGACCCTACGAGAAAAGGCTGCGGGTTGCTTGGATTGTACATGGTAAAACCAGGAACATTATTGGCCTATGACATTGTCTTGCTCATCACTGGACTCCACAGGAGACTGTGTGTGTGTGTGTGTATAGGTTGGCTTGTTTGTTCCATTCGCCATGCCCAGTGGGGGCGTGCAGGCTTTTAGCTTGGGCGATGTACAAGCTGAGAGGAGACACCTCCTTCCGTCTCAGGGAACACGAAGAATCTTAAGATTCTTCTTCGGGGACCGGCAAACGCATCGATCTCTCCATGTCTGATCTCACAGCCGCTTCTTCATTTCTCGTGTTCATTAAAGATCATAACCAAAGAGAAACTGAAGCTCAAAGGGGAAGACAAAATGCAACGACACCACCTTCAGCTGCATTCAAGTTACGAAGAACAAGCCAGCTGGTCGTCTCCTCGGCCTTTGTAAAAGCAGCTTCGACTTTAGGTGAAAGATAAGATCAGCGAGGCAAAGCAAGCTCCCCAAAACTAGCATGAAAACCATGCATGCTTTCTTCATGTCTCTACTACCTTACCATCTCATCTTCTCACGTTGTGAGACACTTGAATTTGGTACCAGCAAGAACATTGGTTCTGCTCGGCTCAACTTTTGGCTCCGATCGGGTCAACTCATTTCTGACTGTGTCACCTAACGATCGATCGGCTTTGGAGACAACAGACTTCATTCAAGCAGACGTTAGATGGAGATTAAGCCTAGGCCCGTCTTGGCTGGCTTGCACAGCTGGCCTTTCTTGACTGGCCCATCTCACGGGGACCCGCTTGCAACCGGGCCCCACACGGGCTGGTCCGCAGGGCATCACCAACAGGCAATTAGGAAAAAAAATAATCCATATAAAAGAAAATAATTATCAATAAATGAAACATAGAAGCCAACTATTTCCAACCCATCCGAGAGGTGAAAGCTTTGGCTTTTGTTCCACCGTTACGAGTGCAAACCCATTTATTTGAGAGCCAATGAGAACAATCAATCGATGGGCACCAAAAAGTAGCCTCGCCTAATTAAAAGCTCTCCGTGGCATGTTTCTCTGAGCACCGATGGGGCCTCCAATGATAGGTTGCAGGCGCTGCCGTCACCATCCTCATCTTCTTCTTCTTACTCACTCACTCCTCCTCATCTGCGGGTCCACTTGCCATTTCACCAGCAGATTTCCGCCCCCTGTACGCATCCTAAATGTCATGTGTGGCCCGCCAATATCAACCACCGCCGGGGTAAGTCTTCTGCCTCTAGCTTTCTTTCCTCAGCGCCGGTTGATGGAGAGCATCAATCCTTCCTGGAAGAAACGCCATGTTTAATGCTGTAGCATCAACCAGCGACTCTCTATTAACAGACTACTTTCAGAGCAATTGACATTTCAACGCCCACACCTTTCACATCACTCTTATTTTGTCACTTCTATGTGAAGATAGATTGGTTTCAGATGACTGCACGAGAAATAATCTCAATGAAATTGTATGGAAAATAATTGATTCGAGTTAGAGGTCTGCATAGGAGAATTAGCAGCACAAATGTTGACAATTACGAATGAATCTGATGCTTTATGAAGGAATAACCATAGATGTGACTGAAGTGTATATGGACAGTGATCCTCAGGAAATAGTTCTAATGTCTTGGTCATGAAAGACAATGCTGCGCTCAATAATGGCCTAAGCAAATCTGAGATTGTAGCATTCCTCAAATAATGTCTCTTTTTTAGATTAGGATGCCAAGTTAGGATGGGAGGCCAACAACTAAGACTATGCAACCATTTGGCATTGGTTGAGACATTTGGTGGCTTAGGAACAAACCATCAAAAAATAATGGAACCTTCTTAGTTTCCTCTCCTAAAGCTTCGACTGATCTCATATTGTCTAAGAACATATCTGCTTGCTATCGCAGAGAAAGATTACATTGGGACACACTACCATGATCATGCATGGAATTATACAACAAGAACCAATGCATACCAACTTTATCTTATGTTAATCTATGAACACCTGCAATCTACTGCCCATCGAAGTGTTTGCGAGACTCCATGCCTACTCTGAGAAGAACACCGTCAGAATTAGTAATACCTGCATGCAAGTTAGTTTAAGAGACTCTTTTCCTTTTCTTTTGTTGGTGACATGGAGTAGAAAGTGCAGAAACAGAGATGAATCACCAAAGGAATGCTACTTGGGTGAAAAGGTTAGCTTTTTGTTGATTAGAGACAGAAATCCAACACTAAACTCTGTCTTTGGCTTGGTCTGTGAGATAGAAAGACGGCTCTCTTTTTCCCCAGGGTGCAGAACTGGTTTTTGCGTGAGGTTCCATTACCTCCTTCCCATCCTCTCCTACCTTACCTTCCAACAGAAGACCAAAAGAAAGAGGGAGAAGGAAGGAACAACCTCTCAAATATTATCTTCCTCCTCCTCCACAACGGAACCACAGCTCCAACCTACTCCTCAATAATTTGATCTTTTGCCAAAGGTCTCACCTTTTTCTCCGCTTCCGAGACCAATTTCTTGGCACTCTCCAAGCCACAAAATCCATTTTTTTTGGTCTTTAGAACTCCATTTCCCCGTTCTGTCCATCATCTCCACAGGGCAATCCTTCTTCCACTGCAAAGGCGCCTCCTTTTTGTGGATTACATTACTTCTTTCTTGGGTTCTTGCTCTCCTGATATCTTTGTCGATTCGGGTGGCGGGTTTTGGACGGGGCTCAGATGGAACCCTCAATGCTGGGCTCATCATCGACGTCCCAGAAGAGATTCCCTAAGCTTCGAGGTGTCCGATGGCGCATTGATCTCGGAGTACTGCCGAGTTCGCTGTCGGCGTCTATCGATGATCTTCGCTGTGCAACCGCAGATGCCCGGAGGAGGTGTGACTGCTGCCAAGTCCAACTCTTTGATGGGAACTCGTATTCCTGTGGTTTCTGTTGGCAAAATTGCTCTTTCTTCCGCATGTGATTCGGCATGAGCAATACTTTTCGAGCTTTATCGCAAACAAAAATTGTTTTCTCAACAATAAGCTTTTTAGTTTGATCTTCGTGTTGAGATTGCCAATCTATTCTAGTAGAATCTTAAATTTGCGCTGTTGGTTCTCACCTCAGCTGAGCTAACAATGTCATTTATTGGATGAGTTGGGTGGTGATGGTGAGACTGAACCTTACTGTCTCGGTCTCTGCATCAAATTTTCAGCAAGAAGCTTTATTTTTCCCGTCATGTTTTTTGGTTCCCTGATTTCCTTCAAGATTAATTTCTACAATTGACTTTGGTTCATCGACAGATATGCTAGTCTGAGGCGTCGTATGCTAATGGATTTTCATCTCCCAAGGGCTGTGGATAGAACTCCTGATCTTACCATGGACAATCCCTTGTCACAAAATCCAGGTATATTTAATTGAGCTTTGTTGGATTACGAATCTCTTCTTTGTGGCATTTTTTGTGCTTGTTGTCACCGAAGAAACCTCAGCTGGTGAAACTTGTAATTCTTTGTTAATTGGACATGAATGCAATATAATACTCATAGTTTTTTTCCTTTTCCTTCCCAAGAAATGTTAGATTCGAATGCCATGAGCTTTCATGTTGATTAATATGTAATTATTGACCAAAATTTTGTAGATTTATGGCACTAGTCGATTATGCTTACTAGAAAGGATTTATACTATATATAATTTCTACAAACAACCGATATGACTATGCTGATTTAACCTATATGGAACAAAGTAATTCTGTTTTGTAAGACAAGAAGATACAACACCAACAACAAAACCGTAAGTCCCAACTGTTTGGAATCGGCTACATGAATCTTTTGCCGCATTAAGATCTGTAAAAAGTCATATGTTTAGTTAAGTTCAGAGCATTTAAATCTTTATTTAGAATTTATATTAAAGTCTTTTTATATCTTCCTCTACCTCCTCTCATACCACTAACCATGGTTTGACTTACGGATTATTTGTATTGGTGTACCTATCGGCCATCGGTACGATACATATCGACCTACCGACATATAATACGGTGGGGCATACTGATAGACCAATATGTATCGCCCATATCGATCCCCTATCGAACTAATACGTATCTCCCGTACCGAGCGGTATGTCGCAGTATGACGAATCTTTCTACTAACATTAATTATTTTACCTATTTTGACTACCACATTCGAAGGTCTCATAAGCACATGCCTAGATCATATTAAGTTTTTTTTTTCATCTTATTTTCTATCTGATCGATACCTAGTTGTTCACGAATAAAAGTATTTCTTTTCCTATCTTGCTTAGTAATTTCACACATCTATTTCAATATTCTCATCTTTATAACATAATTTTTTTGTATATGTTGTTTCTTAATTGCCAAACACTCAGGTCCATAAGGCATTGTTGGTGAGACAAGAATATATCTATCATTAAAGGACTTGGTTGTATTATCAAGTCCCATAATCACTTTGTTGATGTACATGGTTTCCCATTATTAAATCTGTTTGTCTGATATCTATACTATTTTGCAGACAGCACATGGAGTCGCTTTTTCAAGAATGTGGAGTTGGAGAAACTAATTGACCAAGATTTGTCGCAGTTGCATCGAGCACATGGTAGCTACTTTCAGACACCTACATGCCAAACTATGTTGAGGAGAATGTTATTATTGTGGTGTCTCCGGCACCCAGAGTATGGATATCGACGAGGCAAGTTATTGAATTGTGTTTATGATATAAGTGTTTCTCAATCTTACACTTTAAACTCCAACATTAATGTATGAATCACTTGTGTTTCTATTGACATGAAGCTCTCTCTGAATATAAATCGATAGCCTTTCTCAAAGAGCACATTGATGATTTTTTTTTTGTTGCATATTTGTAATTTGTCTAAAATTTCCTATGATAATTTTGACCTATTAGACATCAACAATTGTAATTTGATATGTGAAAAACCAGGTTTATGTTTTGATTTGTTGAAGAAGTCATTTACTAATGCAGATACTAATACTGTTACAGAAATGCATGAACTTTTGACTCCTCTAGTCTATGTGCTTCTTGTCGATCTGGATCACCTTTCTCAAGTGCAAAAAGCTTATGAGAGTCATTTTAGTGAATTTGATGAAATGTCCTTCTCGGAATTAAATCAGGTCTCCGACAACAGATTTAGAAGATCTATTAGTGGGGGCATGGAGATCGAAAAAGAAGGCAATCAAAATGGCATTGCTAAAGTTCACAGTATAGATGAGCTTGATCCTGACACCAAAGAAATCCTTTTGTTGAGTGATTCTTATGGAGCTGAAGGCGAGTTGGGAGTTCTTTTATCTGAGAGATTCTTGGAACATGATGCATATAGTATGTTTGACAGTTTAATGAATGGAGCACGTGGGGTGGTTGCTATGGCCGACCTTTTCTCATCATCTCCAGTAGTGTTTGAAGTATCATCATCATTTTACTATTTGCTATCGATGGTAGATTCAACTCTTTACAGTCATCTTGTTGAGCTTGGTGTGGAACCTCAGTACTTTGCCCTCCGATGGCTGCGTGTTCTTTTTGGAAGGGAGTTTGACTTTGATGATCTTTTAATGATTTGGGATGAATTGCTTTCTTCTCCAAATAGTATATGCATAGACAAAGATGCAAAATACAGATTCAAGATCTTATGTGCTCCTCGAGGTGCATTTATAGCTTCAATGGCTGTTGCAATGCTTCTTCATCTAAGATCTTCACTGTTAGCCACTGAAAATGCAACATTTTGCCTCCAAAGGATATTGAGTTTTCCCAAGAATCCAGACATGAAGATTCTTTTAGAGAAGGCCAAATCATTGGAGATCCTTGCTATTGATTCAAACAAGTTGTTATCATCATCCCAGGAAACTTCTAACAAGAACAAGTTGGCCATTACAAGAGGTTACAATCTTTCATCGGGTTCAAGTTCTGCTAGGACTGCACCAAATCAAGTACCAGATAGTTATTGGGAAGAGAAATGGAACCTATTGCATAAGACTGAAGAAACCATGATGAGAAGTGATGGATTTTTAGATTCAAGTGGAATGAAGTTTTTGGGTGAAAGATCTATTCTATCTAGGACAGCGTCACACCCTTCTCCCGCAGATGGTGGTGGGAGGAAGAATAAACATTTTTCTGTCAGACATAAGCTGTTGGATGATTTTTCTCAAGATATTAATTCTGTGGTGGAACATATGAACTCCAAACAGAGTAACTTTCTTGTTTCAAATAACATAGAATCCTCACCCTTGGAAGTAAATGCTGGAAACCATTTCATGGAGGAACTGAATGATGATAATAATATTAGACGAGTGACTTCTGACCGCACAGCTGAAGAGACATGTTTAAGTGGAGAGTGCTCTTCAATTTTCTTCATAGCAACCCATCATAGCTTGAGCAAGAACAAAGATAATGACTCAGATAAAAGTAGCATCACCTCAAATTCATGTATTTGTGACAATGATCAAGAGGCATCTATCATGGAAGAACTTTGCTGCAGAAGTTACAATAATCAATTAGTTAGAGATGATGAAGTTGTATCAGCTGCTAATGATGAACCTAAATCAGGACAAGAATTTGTTTCAGATGACGGAAAGCCACTCACTAGTAAATTCCAGTGGTTTTGGAAGTTTAGCAGAAGTTCTGCTGAAGGAAACTTGGAAAAGGGAGGAAATCAGGAATCAGAAAGATCCTCTGCTGCGGAAAATACCAAGAACAGCTGCAGCACTCCAACTTTTGTTCAAACCAGCAATTCCCAAGATGTGAGCAAGAGGGGAGATGTAGGAGACAACAAAGTTCTTGGCACTTTGAGGATTCTTGGACAATCCATGCTTGAGAATATACAAGTAAGACATTGCTGTCTTTTCCAACACATTTATTCTCAAAAAATATTAAATGAAATGAGAGATGTTTATGATGGTTGTTTCCAGATTATCTTGCATTTTTTTCCATCAATAGAATACTTGAAAAAGCATCACATATGTTGATTTGAGATCTCTTCTCATTTTCTTCACTTCAGCATATGAAACTTTCCTTCTTGTTTGGATTCATCATTGCAGATATCAACATTAGAATTGTAATTGCCTATGTGCTAATTCTAAGAGTTAGATTATTTTTAGAAAAGAAATCATGAATGGTTAGAGAAAATACATTGCAATTTCTAGCATCACCAACTTAGTCCATTGCCGATTCAACCTCCCACTCTCAACTGCTATCTTAATCATGAATGAAATTTTGGTTCCTCAGGTGATCGAGACAGTTTTCCAGCAAGACCGAGTCCAATCCCTCTCATTAGAGAGCTTCTCAAATAACATTCTTGGAGGTAAAGGTCAAGCTACCGCAGTGTCTGCCCTGAAGGAGCTTCGGAAGATTAGCAGCCTGCTTTGCGAGATGTAAGGCACGACTGTTGACAAGATAAGGGGACTGCAGTTCATTCTTTTGATTTCCTGGCATCAGGAACGAACTCGAAAGGTGTATTCCCTGTTCTTCCATCATTTAGAAATGTATCCATAGCTGGTAAGTGGAGAACATCATTAGATACATTTAGTTGATTGGAATGCGGTGAGCATGTTTGATAGGCAATGTTTCATTTTGATCATAAATGTTTGCCCACAGCTTGGATTTGGATGGTGGGTGCTGCTGTTCTCTTTCGAGTCTCAAAACAGGAGTGCTTCACAACTACTCATTGGCTTTCCGCAACTCTCTTATATCTTCTTATATGCTCAAGCATCCATGTTTAGCAGTCTACCTTATCCCAAGCTGTCTCATATAGATCATTAGTTAGACGTTTCTTTTCATTGTAACGAAAGTTTCAGATTGGTGGGTCAATTGACAGGTCAAAAGGTTTAACTTCTTTTGTTCCCTTTTTTTCCATTTTTTTTCTCTCTCTCTCCCCACCATCACGCCTTTTTCATTAGTGTTTGGATTGATTTTGGTTTGTCTTAGTGGGAGTCTACTCCAATTCAATTTGTTTCTTTTTCAAGCCGGTCTCAGAAAAAATAGTCACATTGGACTTTCAATCCTCGGAAAATTAAGTTAAAGGAGACAATCTTCACAATCCTAGGTCAAGTCAGTATTTAAGTAGGACTAGTTCGAGAAGTCAAACTAGTTAGTCAGTATTTAAGTAGGACTAGTTAGACAAGTCAAACTAGTTAGAATAAGTCAAGTTTATTATCTGTTGTGTTATGAGCGTACTTATGCAACACCCTCTTGTAGTGGATGCTTAGAAGGGGTGTTACAAAAGTTCTTTAGTAGGAACTGGTCACAACCACCTCTATTGACTATGGGCAACTATACTTGTTTGTTATATCGATTGGAACTATCCTTGATGGGTGTTGGGTCGTTTGTCAACTTTTCTCATCAGAGATGTGTCATTTATGTGGTAGCGAAGTTACATCTCAATAGGATATCGCAAATGTAGACATATCAGTCCCATGTTATGCTAATATGTTAATCAAGTCATATCTACTAATCATAGGTGTTATGTAAGATAATCACACGAGTAATGACACATGTGATATGCTGTACAATCTTTTTGCTTATTATTATTATCATATTCTCACTTTATATTGTCTGTTGTATATATTGTGATATCATTGAATCTATGCAATGAGAATTGAATCATGATAAGATCATGATAATGAGACCAATTCACATATAAACATAGATTCTAAATATTTTCGATCATAGGTTACTCGAGAGAAATATTAAAATAACTGAACAGATAGATATACTATATACTCGTCCATATGATGGAGGCAATTGGTCTCATAGTTACTCGTGTTGAGACACTAGGGATATAGTATATGTGCTCATTGGAGAATGAGTATACTGAATGATCCACTCACGGAATGCTGGATGGTTGATGATACCTCATTGTTAGATAGTGATTCCGTGATCCCAATTATTTCTAGTCTTAGACTTGAGACACCAAGGATGTTTTGTATGAGTACTCCACTCTTTGATACTAGACTTATACGTCTGAAAGTTTCAGATCTAGCACAATCGATCATCGAAAGTGATAGTCAACCTTACAAGGACAATTGAGTGTCGATAAAGGATCATCCACTCTCGATGTAAATGTCATATATGTTTTTGCTCAAACAAATCCCTAGCCAAGGTCATTCAAATTGAGAGAAGAAATTCTTCGAGAGAATCCGATTAGAGCGAGATTCGAGTAGATTCCATATGGGCCTGACAGCACTATGTCCGGTATACGATCTTTGGGATATTAGATAGATGAAGGACTATAGATACGTAGTAACTTAGGGCAAACATGTCCAATAGATTAGATCTCCTTGTATCGTCTAGGGACTATAGCGTAGTGGCCTAGTACGTTCATAGTCGATGAGTCGAGTGAATTATTATGGAGATAATAATTCACTGAGTCAGAAGGAGTTCTGATAGATGCGACTCATGGCTAACTCGATATTGGGCTTAAGGGTCATACACATATGGTAGGTGTTGTGACAAGTAGAGGTTTGGATATGAGATATCCATCGATCCCCTATCTTATTGGATTTCCGATAGGCCCTTATATTATTGGATCCTATGGATAAGATACAATAAAAGCCAATAAGAGATTATTGGATAGAGATATACTAAACCAAGTAGCTTTAGTAATTAGATAGAGATCTAGTACCCAATAAGACAAGATCCATTATGATTAAGTGGCAGGAACCTCTATAAATAGGAGGGACCAAAAGGTGGCATTGGTTAGTCTCCTCTTGGCCCCCCTCCTATTCTACTCCCTCTCCTCTCCCCCTTAGCCGATAGCCCTTGTTTGGGGAGTGTGGATAGAAAGAAGGGTCAGCCCCTTCTTGATCACGGTGCAATCTTATGATGCGTGTTGAGAAGAAGATCGTGCTATGATTTGAGTAGCATCGTCGACCCATCTACCGTGTGGATCACTATAGAGAAGAGAACAGTTGACCTCATTCATCCTCTCCTATAGATTTGGGATTTTTTAAGGATATATGATCTTCTTATGTAAGACATCTCACATGATACGTGTAGTTTTTGATTTTATGGTTTCTCGCGCACCAATATTCACACAACGACTAGATATTTTTCTGTGAAAAATTTAGACTTTTGTTTCTATTTTTCTACTACGCATGTGATGCTCTTTCAAGGTTGCCTAACAATGTCCACTATAACACATGCCTCTCACTTCATGGGTTGAAGAGCATCATGAAGTTGGATTGGGAAATACTATTTATTTAGGGTCCTTTGTTAGTGTAAGAGACTAGGGAGCAGTGGAATATCTGACCCGAGTTTCCCACGAAGTCGACATAAGTCATTATGCTCGACTCACCCTACTTGGCTTGGTTGGCTTGAACCAATCTTACTGATTCAATTGGCTCAGCTTAAATCTCCTGCCATGTTCACTATTAATCCAATATATCGAGAGCAGTAGTGAGGCGGAAGGGTATGATCGATCGTGGCAGCATGATGAAGTACAACAAGCATGTTCATTATGAAAACATGGTTCCAACAATTACTAGAGTCTCATGTGAGGGCGAAGTAGGCTAGTGCCTTGATGAATGATGACGTAAAAGTTTAGGAAAACTAAGGACGATAACATATAGAGGATTGAAAGGCTATATTTAGTGGCATGCTCTGGGCTAGAAGACCAAACCTAGTGGTGCACAAAGAGTCATAAGGCTAAGGTGCGGTGGTCCATAGAGAGCTGGAAGGCTTGCTACAATGGTGCATAGAGAGCTAGAAAAGCTAGGTGCAGTGGTGCACAAAAGGGCGATAGGGCCACATGCGGTGGCACTAGGGTCAAAGATGCCAAGCATGGCAAGGCATAGGGAGTTGACAGGGGATTGTGAAGTGGCATCGGGGTTAAAGAGGCTAAGTGCAGCAAGGCACGGAGGACCAACAACACATGCACCTTCTTTTGGTGGGCAAGAGAATCTGAATGGGTCAGGAAATGTCTGACACCCGATCATAAACCCTACCACAGTCATAGGAAAATGTGGCATAGTGGTTTCTCACTATATGTCCTTCGCAAAAATCGTGGTGGATTCGATATGTTTTCTCTAATGATCTAAATAATCGTTGGGTTGTTAGGATTGCCTCACATGTCCCTAGTCATAATAGATGATGCTGCTAGTCATAGGTGCCCTACAAGCTAATCACGTGAGTGATGACACATGTGACATAACACACAATCTTTTTACTTATTATATTATTTAATATTTTATCACTTTATATTGCTTATTGCATAAATATATATTGTGATATCCATGGATTTATGCAATGAGATTCAGATCATGATGAGATCACATAATGAGGCTGGTTCGTCTTTAAACACAGACCCTAAATAATCCTGGTCATAGATTACTCAAGAGGGGCATCGAGATAACCGAACATACTGGTGTACTATATACCCGTCCATATGATGGAGATAGCTAGTCTCATAGCTGCTTGTGTAAGGACACTAGGGATACAGTGCAGGTGCTCATTGGAGAATAAATTCACTAATTGATGATCCACTCACGAATGCTGAATGGTTGATGATGCCTTTTTGTCAGACAACGATTCTGTAGTCCCAATAGTGTATCTGGTCCTTAGACTTGAGACACCAAGGATGTCCTTTATGAGTACTCCATTCTTTGATACCAGACTTACGGGCTTAGAAGTTTCAAATCTAGCACAGCCGGTTATCAAGAGTGGTAGACAACCTTACGAGGGATATTGGGTGTCGATAGAGGATCATCCACTCTTGGTGTCATGAGAGGAATATTTCATGTGTTTTTGCTTAGACAAATCCTTGGCCAGGGTCATTCGGATTGAGAGAGAAAGAGTTCTCCGAGAGAATCCAATTAGAGCGAGACTCTAGTAGAAACCGTATAGGCCTGACAACACCATGCCCGGTATACGATCTTTGAGATATTAGATGAATGAGGGACTATAGATACACGATAACTGAGAATAGACAAGTCTAATGGATTTGATTCCCCTATATCGTTTGAGGACTGCGGCGTAGTGGCCTAGTACGTCCGTAGTCGATGAGTCGAGTGAATTATTATAGAGATAATAATTCACTTAGTCAGAAGGAGTTCTGACATATATGACTCACAATCAACTCGATATTATGCCTAGAAGGTCACACACATATGGTAGGTGTTACGACGAGTCGAGGTTCATATATGAGATATTCGTTAAAGCCCCTATCTTATTGGATATCTAATAAACCCTTGAATTATTGGATCATATAGATAAGATCCAATAAGAGCCCATGAGAGATTATTGGATAGAGATCCACTAATCTAAGAGGCTTGGGTAGTTGGATGGAGATCCAATACCCAATAGGGTAGGATCAATTAGGGTTAAGTTAACTAGGGGCATCTATAAATAGGAGAAAACCAAAGGCCCATAGGTTAGAGGTTTCTTGGTTGCCACCTCTTATTCTCCTCTATCCTTCTCCTCCTTAGATAGCAGGTATGGAGATTTGGACAGTGATTTGAGGAGCGTCATCGTAGCCCTGTTGTGTGGATCACCACTAGAGAGGAGGGCGCTTGACCTCTTTCATCCTCTCAAACAAATCTACAGGGATTCAGGGATTTACGA